CCCCCCGCTTTACACTTCCTTCCAGCCCACACTGCCACAGGACCCCAGCCTGATGAAAGCTGTGGGGCTTGGTTGCGTCATCTGCATGGTTCAAGAGCTGGCGGGAAAGGCTCGGGTTGCGGGTCGAAGACGAGAACCCACTCGTTAGCCAGCACAGTGTCTGTTTAGCAGCCGGCGCAGTCCTCTCCCCTAATTGCCACGTTAAATGGGCGGTCACGAGGCCCTGGGGCATCTGACCGCCAGAACGAAGAGAGAACCCAGTTCACCCCACGAGCGCCCAGGAGTTTCAGGGATTCCCTAGTTACACATCCGCTGAGGCCCAAGAACACGTGCAGTGTAAAAGCAAGGAGAATTCGAGAGTTTGTGAGTGGACAAAGGTAGGAAGTAGGGCTAATCACTGGTTATCCAGTCTCCGGAACCCCGTTCTTACCCGAGCCACCCGGAGGAAAGAAAAGGGCAGCATCGCAACTCCACGTCGCAGGAGGTACAGCCACCAACTCTGGTCGGAGAGTAGCAAAAGGTTGGAAAACACCGTTCCGAGAGCGCATGCGCGAGAACGACCCGAGAAGCCCGGCAAGGGAGGGAACACGCGTGCGCAATGGTGCCACCTTTGTGGCCTTTTGGGAATTGTAGTTTTCTTCCGCTTCATTCCACATCTGTAGCCCTAAAGAACCTTGATTAAAAGAATACTGGACTGCTACATATTCTAACTATCCTGAAGATATCCGGGATTTCTTTTTCCTGTCAATTGTTAAGACAAACGTTTATTGGATATCTACTGAATATTGAGTATTCTTAGGCTCTCTGGGAAATCCAGAGACTCCCATACAAGATAGGGTAGTGCTGTGGAAATCGCTGTGGTTTGAAAGGATGGGACACTTGAGTTCAAGTTTCAACTCCAGGTAGTAGCAAATTAGCTTGCTGTACCTCAGTTTCTTCATTTCTAAAGTCATAATAAAATATCATGCGGTGGGGATGAAATGAGACTTCGTATGTGAACATGAGCTTCCATGGATTGTCTTCCTCCTATTCCTCTGAGTCACAAAACTGCTTCCTCCTCCAAGGCTGTTTTCTCCTCCTCAGACAGCTTAAAGAAGAATGAGGTGTCCCCTCCTGTTGCAGTTATTCCATTTTGTAACCTGTCCACTTGATATCCTGAACTCAGTGAGTCTTATTTATTTATTTATTTATTTATTTATTTATTTAATGGTACTGAAGCTTGAACTCAGGAGGCTCTGCCACTGAACCACATCCCCAGCCCTTTTAAAATTTTATTCTGAGATGGGGGTCTCCCTAAATTGACTAGGCTGGTTTCAAACTTGCGATCCTCCTGCTTCAGTCACCTGAGTAGCTGGTATTACAGGTACAGGGTTGGCCACTGTGCTTGGCTAGAGAACTTCCTTTTAGTCTTACTGTATCTGGATAAAACCCCTGAGTAAGGTACTCATTGATATCTTTTTTTTTTTTTTTTTTTTTTTTTTAGCTTTTGGCGGACACAACATCTTTGTATGTGGTGCTGAGGATCGAACCCAGGCAGCTCGAATGCCAGGCGAGAGCGCTACCGCTTGAGCCACATCCCCCGCCCCTGATACCTTTTTTTTTTTCAATAATATTTTTTAGTTGTAGATAGACCAATAGCTTTATTTCTTTTATTTTTATGTGGTGCTGAGGATGGAACCCAGTGCTCACATGCTCACACGTGCTAGGCAAGTGCTCTACCACTGAGCTACAACCCCAGCCCTAATTGATATCTTCAACAAAAGTTTCCAAATGACTGGGGGGAAAGGGTGCTCTAAATGAATTTCAAAGACACATCCAAACCTCTTCTCAATGATTCTGATAAGCATTAGTTTTAAAAAACCATTGCATTACACAGCACCATTACACATAAATTAATTCAATACACATATTGACCTTCTACTTCATGCCAGCATGCCATTGCCCTGAGATACCAGAAGAGCTCACTGACTACTGGGACATCAAGAAATGAACAGATGACAAAATTCAACAGGTGCAATGTGACTTTTTTATTTATTATGTCTTTACAGTTGGGGAGATTGAGGCCTAGATGGGCTAACTTGCTGATTCCATTCATACATGTCTTTCATATCAGGCCTCAGAGTCCCTCCCTAGATCTAACTTCCTTCCCACTCTGGCTCTCAGCTTTTCCAGGTGTTCTCAGCAATAAGCCTTGTGTAAAGAGACTTCTTTGCTCTTCTTCCTCCAATCTCTAACCCAGAACCTCTCTCCATCTTCCTTCTTTCACTTGATCCCATTATTTATCCATTCATCCATCTGATATATACTTTCTGCTCACCAACTTTTCACTCTCAGGCATGTTGGGGAGTCATTGTCAGGCCAGAGCCAGTGGGCAATCCCTTGGTGAACACTGATCTCTGCCTGTGGGCATCTTGACCCCGCACTTCTCAGAAAGAAAGCAGGATGAAGAGGAGTTGTTCCTCTGTGCCTCAGCTTGTCTGCACCCCTTCTTACCCCAGTCACGGGGGTCCCAAGGGGAGGGGGGCTGCTGAGCTGAGAACTGCTAATGAAGCCGCAGCCAATTAGCGCCCGGGCCAGGGTTGGGGGCGGATAAAATTAGCAGCAGAGGCTGCAGGAGGGAGCTGAAGGCGCGGGTGGAGAGGGTGGGCAGCTGGCTGAAAGGGGCTGTGTTTGCTGGCGGCTAGCAGCAGCGACGAGGCCCCGCCCTCCAAACCCGCGCTCATCCCTTCCCCCATCTCGTCATCCCAACGCTCCCTCCCTTCTTCGTCCGTCTGCAAACTCAGCGCCCACGAAATTAGGAAGGAAAAGGAAGATCGATGACTCCAGATGCCGCAAACACTGTTCCCCCTCCCTTCCAAGCTACCTCCTCCTCCAAGCCCCGCGGAGCTTAGCAGGTTGTTAGCGCTCTGCCTATTCTGTCCCTGAATCTCCCTCTTTTTCAAGTCATCCCAAATAGTGCGTTGGTAGTTCCCACTCAGGTCTAACACTCATTCTATCTGCAACAGCTTCGTTTTGCCCTCTGCAGAGAGGGGAATCCCCACCCCAGGGAGAGTTCTTACTCCAAGGGTCTGATACATTTCTCTGTGATCCAGTCTTGGATGACCTCCAAGGTGCTAGCTCTGTCACCTTTGCCTCAGTTTCTCCATCAGCCACGATGGAGGAGGCCCTGGCCAAGTCTCTATCAGACAGAAATCCACATCTGTCTCCCTCTTCCCTACAAAGGTCTCACACAGACACGTATTGGATTTCACTTTATTTTGTTCCCTTTCCCGTCTGTTATGGCATAGAAAAAAAAATATCGCCGAGAGGAAGCAGCCAGAGAGGGCAGGTGGAACTGGACTGCACTGACAAGAGGGAAGCAAGCAGAGGGCAGGGGCCGGGCTGAGCGCCCCTGCTTAGGAGTTCTGCTTCTGCGAGGTTGGGAGGAAAAAGGGACAGGCAAACGGCAGGCAGAGAGGGATAAGGATAGGCCAGGGGGTAAATAGACCTTTAGTCTTTACCAGGGGCACAGGAGAACAAGCGCTTGGGGGCCAGAATGTCTGGGTGGGATAAGGGTGCCAGGCCAGGTGTTATTAAAGCTGTTATTAAAGCTACGCGCAAAGGGAGTGCCCAGCCCAGCGCCAGAAGCAAAAAGGGGATCCAGTGTGGACTAAGAGGACCCTGGTATACCACCTCCAAACCCCGCCCATTCTAGGGCTGCGCCCTTCTCTCTCCACATTAGGGTGTATCTGAGGGAGTTACAGCCTCATGGGCACTCCCCACAAGGACAAGGGAAACACTGGCTGATGAGGGCTGTCCCCTTCCGCCCCACTCCGCAGCAGGAGTGGAGCAGACCACGGGAGCGGAGGGATATCGGGAGGAGTCCCACTTACAGAGGATGGGATTTGGCGGGATGTTCAGGGCCGGGCCAGGGGCACTATCCAAAGTAAGGGTGTTCGCTTTGGAAGTTATAGTCTGGGCATACCTTCTGCACCAGTTTGTAGTCAAAGCTGAGGAAGGAGACGAAGATACAGATGACTTTGAAGGGCTTGGCACAGAGCCAGGCGGCCTGGCTCTGCGTGTGCTCAGTGAAGCACACCTGCGACGGGTCGTACAGGCACGGGCGGTGCTTCCGAGCGCGGTTTGTCTTCTCATATTCCACATGGCAATTGAAAGCGCGTGATTCTTTGGCCCCGGGCACTCCCAGAGCGCTGCCTAGTGAACCTGCCAGTGCGCCCCCAAGGGTGCCCCCAAGCCCCGGTCCCGCAGCTGCCGCCATCCCTAAAGGGGGCCCCAGCCCAGGAAGCACCCCCTCCAGGGCCAGCGTAGACTGTAGTGGGTGGGAGGCAGGCCCAGGCAGCCAGACGCCCCCGAACTCCACACGCTTAGAAGGTGGCACAATACTGACACTGAGGTTGCCCAGACTGGAGGAGTTGTGGCGGAAATACACACTGAAAGTACCATTCACATGGTCCACGATCTTGCCGGTCACCAGCAGCGAGAACTTGAGGGTATGCACTCTAAAGTAGAAGTCCCCCCAGCCGAAGATCTTTTTGGCTCGTGCGGCTTTGATGGACGGCTTCCTCTTAGTGCGCTGAGCCGGCAGCGCCCCGGCCACCCCTGCCTGGGTCAGCGCCCCCGTGTGGTTAGCTGGCCAGGCCCAGCTCCAGGCGCCGGCCAGCCCCAGGCCATCAGAAGACCTGGACGCCGGGAGCTGTTGGCCAGGGGCACCCCCTCCTGGAGTAGCTGGGCGCAGCTCCAGGTACTGCGGCCTTCCCGACTCTGGTATCTGGGCACTGACGACCTGTGTAGGAACAAAGAGGAGGGAAGAGAGAGATGCTAGAGTGGGCCCTGGCCACCTTGCCTGAGCCCTACCCTGGCAGCCCTTTTCTGCAGCCGCAAGGAGACCACATGCAGTCGTCCGCGGGTAGTTCAGGAGTGGATGTTGGAATAGATCTGCAGCCCTCAGTTTCCAGTATCTGTGAGATGACCTGAGAATCCCTGTGTTTCTCCACTGAGCTCTAAAATGAACCCAAATGCCAAAACCAGTGTGGGTGTTGGTGTGAGTAGGGAATGGGTCCAGGAGGGCTCCTAAAGTTCCTCACCTGGCCCATGGATGGTTCCAAGTAATGGGCCAGGGAAGAGTTGGAGTGGAGCATGTGAGGCCTTGACCACCTCAACATAACAGCATCAAGAAAGAGGTGGGAAGACCTCCCAGTTTCTGCGGAGACTAGAGCTCGATTCCTGGCCTCAGCCCTGACTGCTCAGCGGGGAAGGGCCGCTGAGAACGGGTTGAGCTATGGAGAAGAGTCCCCGTGCGGTGGGTTGAGGCTTGGGGCATAAATGGGCTCCCCTCTCAATTCGGGCTCCCCTCTCAATCCGCAGCGCTCCTGCTGTGGTGGAGGCCGCCTGACCGCCCTTCCCTGGGCTGGGAGAGGACTGGAGGAACTGCCCCCGCCCGCTCACCGTTTCTGTGTCTCAGGTGGCGGCCGATCTGGGAGACAGCGCGGGCGCGAGTACAAGATGGATCGAGAGGCGGGAGCGTCCGGGCCAGGCCCGGGCCATCAATTATCTGGGTGGTGGTGGTGGTGGGGTGGCCGAGAGTGAAGGAGAAGGGGAGAGAGCGAGAGGAAGAAATATGGAGATGCCGCTCCAGCAGGGAGAGCGGGAGGGAGAGGAACCGAGAGCGTGTCAGAGTGTGTCAGTCAGCCTGTGCTAGCCACCACTGTGCTGTTTGGTGTGGCCCTGACTTCGTTCAGGTCCTGGGGGTGGGGGAACAGTACTGTCTGTGTCGGTCTGGGGTGGCTGTGTTCCTGATAGCCTGAAATGGTGTGTGTCTTTCTACCCAGAGTTGCTCTGGTGTGTCAAACTGATACAGACTGTATATGTATCAGTCTGTGGGGGTTGGAGTGGCTGTGGTGATTCTGTGTGTCTGTATGTCTATGTATATCAGTCTGAGGAGGTTGTGTGTGTCTATGCCTGCTTGTAGTGGATGTACATCAGTTGTGGTGATTTGTGTATATGTGCTTGGATTGGCTGTGTGTCTGTGTGTTGATACCAGTGAGGCTATGTGTGTCAATTTGTAGTAGTAGTCTCTGTGGTGGTTGTGTTGTGTGTCTGGGTTTGTTATATGCCTATCTTTGGTGGTATGGAGGTTGTCACTTTTCCTGTGTGAATTCCTATCATCCTCTGTCCATGTCTAAAGCTCTTTCTAGAGGGGGTGTACCCATAGTGACAGGACAAGTATGGTCTTCGTTCTTGTGTGTGTATGTGAATTGTATATAAGGGAGACATACTGGCCTGCAGGCTGAGAGTTTTGGGTACATAAGGAGGCCTGGTCAGTGTAGGTGCCCCCTCTGTTTGCACACACCCATGTGTACACAATAGTGTCCGCAGGGGACAGGAATGCAGAGCCAAGCTACAGGGCTAGAATCTCTACCGCCTGGTCCCCTTCCCTGCAGCACTGCGATCCCAGGTTATTAATGCTGCCACCACCCGATCGTCATACATATTTATCGCCCCCCTCCTCCTTCCTCCCATGCAACCCTCCTCCCAGCCCAGGTGAGGGGGGTGGAGGCAGCAAGAATGATTGACTCAGACAGACAAGCTTGAGCTGGCATCTAACACTGGAAGGGTGGGGTTGAGAAAGGCTGGGGGAAGAAGTCTTAGCATACAGGGGCAGGGAGAAGAGACTTCCCAGGGGAAAAGGACCAAAATCCAAGAGGTAGGCTTGAGCCCTGGAAAGGGCATTGGAGGAGGGAGTGGGCAAGCTTCTAGGGAGAAAGTCAAGATGTGCATTATTGAACTCTGACCCCTAATCTTAACCCTCTGAACCCAACTGCTGCTCTTTCCAGGAAAGTCTAGACACCAAGTCCCCTCCTCAATGCCCCATGCTGTGATTCCAAATGCACCCCAGTACACCCCAGCATGCTTTATGTCCTGCAGACCTGGCCAGGAGTGGTTCAGTCCAGTGACTCCTCAGAGACAGGGACTAGGGGAGGAAATGGGGTTGGACAGGATAAGGAAAGGTGCCAAGAGGTACCCCCACCTCTGATACCAGACAAATTGCTGTCTTTGCTTCTATGATCCTGGCAAATCCCTGGGCTTTGGACACTTGCACCCCCCACACATCAGGGGCTGGAGACAGCCCAGATACAAGGGAAGAGTTGAGGGGAGGCAGCCAAAGCGACCTTGGGTGGGGGTTAGACAGGGAGCGCTGGAGAGTCTGTGAGGAAACGAGCCGAGAAATGGGAACATGGAATAAAATAAAATAAAATCCTCCCTCTGGCTTCTTTGATCGCCAGCACTCTCTCCCTCTCTTGCTCTCCCTTTTCTACTATTTTTTCATCTCTCTCTCTCCCCACCCTTCTCTCACTCTTTCTGTTTCTTCCTCCACTTTGTCTCTGCCTCTAATTTCTATCTTCCAGGATTCTGTCCCCCCCCCCC